TGGTCTTCATAGAGAAAATTTTCCGAGTCGGTTAGTCATAAAATTATCGCTATCTAGATCAATGTAGTATCATTCATAGTGTTTGTTTTAATTTCTTCTTTCCATTTTCTCAGATGATCGCTGAAAAATATTGAAAGGATGCTTCACATTAGAACTCTGAATGCGATAGAGTGATTTTCTTGTCCCATGGAATTTCCAGTTTTTGTTTCCATGAAAAAGTTCAAGTTTTTTTCGTTAAAATATGGCTTCAGTAAGGTACTTTAAGAAAGCTTAGAGTAATAGAACTTATTATATCCTCATTGTCGGTCTTATCTGTCAACATAAATAGATTCGTTGCTAGCTTTTTTGTGTTATTTTTCATGAAAAAATTTTAAAACCTTTTCAAAAGTTTAAGCCATAAAACTTATTTGTTACAAAGGCTCTCCTCTCTGTAAGCAAAGATTTAATGAAAATGATTTATTGGTATTCGTTTAGCAGGTGTTTCACTGTGAATGTATGATAGCATTAAAGCTGGTCTTTCTCATTGTATTACAGTGTTTCACCTTCCGCCAATAAATAACAATAGTAACATAAAAGTTGGTGTTTACTACTGTGAAAAAGTGTTCCAACTTCAAATATCATAATAATATATGAATGTAGAGCACTTCTTTCCTTTTTCTTTATTCCATCTTTCATGTATATCTACATCCTCAACACACGCAAGAGAAACAAAGAAAAAGTACAAAATACAAAGTGCCAGGGAAAGAAAGAGAAAGGCAGAAGATAAAGAGAGAAGGAGAAACAATAGATATTCTTGTCCTACTTCGGACAAGACCATTTAATAATAATAATAAAGATGACATCATGCATCTATTTTCCAAGTAGAGTTAAATAAAGGAGAGGAGAAAACAAAGACAAAGGAAAAACAGATCGACCTATATATACAACAGTGCATGACGTATACTAGAGAGTTAAGACACATATACACATACACACAGCCAAGATGAAAACGAAAATAAGAAATAATGATGAATATTGTTAGAGTGCTCTCTGACAACAGTCTTTCATAAATATTGATTATATGGATAAAAATACATGGTTATAAAGAATCTTTACTTGAAACCAGTTTTGAACACATTTTTTGAATAAATTTGGGTTCAAAGAGAAGTAATCGGTATATAACAGATTCTGATAGATGTACTACGGAATTCTAAGTGTGATAGGTCTCAACAGAGTCTACAAAGATCTAAAGAAACACGCTAAAGTGCGCCATAGGATGCAATTATCTTTGCGGATTCTTAACAATCTGTAAAGCTAGCAAAACTTATCAAGATCTGATAATTTAAGGAATAAAAAATGTACTGAAGAGGAAACGCTATTAGTTCCTAATTCAAGGAGGCAAGAAAGTAAAATTCTCTTATAGAATATGTTGAGCCGAGGTTCTGCAGGAACTCAGCAAGTTCAAACAGATTTTAGTAGATTCTGATGAATTTACCATCATATTCGATGGGGCATGTCAAGATCCTAATACCCTAGATTCACAGTTTTTTTTAGGTAGAAGCAGTAGGATATTTGTCAAATACAAAAAATCTGAGATGATTGAATAAGAAAGTCATAGAAATCGATTCAAGATTTTTAAAAGTCTTTGTACTAGACGCGTTGTTCCATGGGACTATTTTTTCGTCTCACACCATCTCATTCAGAGCTCTGCTTCACGTGGATTTTTCTTACTGCCAACAAGTGAAACAACTGTAAAATCAATCACAACACTTCATAGTAGAATTTACTTACATTATTTGCATGAAAAAAATTTGAATAAAGTCTTAGCTTTAAACAAAATATCAGCCCATTTGATTGAATCGAAGTGAAGATATTAAAAATTTCTTCTCATCTAGTTATTTATGGACCACTCTGTAGAATCAATATTTCTCCTCCTTTTACTCAGTTAATAAATGATAGAATAAGTCTCTATTCGTCTCATTCTTCTAGCTAGTCTCTAGAAGTAGCTGTCTGATTTGAGTTCGAGCATAAATAGATATTTCAAGAATCGACATCTATCATTGATTCTAGATCAAGATCTAGATTTATCCATTCGTACTTCCACCACATAGATATATATGTCGAGTGTCCCAAAACGTTTGCACATTTTTTTACATGTATCTCAGTATGAATAAATGATAAAACCTTGATTTTTTTTAAACGGTGCACCGTTGAAAAGCTGTACAAAACCTATATATACCCTTGGAAAGCAAAAGTTGAACTTTGTATTTCGAATATATTTGCACTAAAGAAGTACATTTTAAAAATACAAATTACATATTCTGAAATTCCGTGGAGTTCTCTATCATGTTGTATAATTATGTTTTTGTTTAAATCTATTCGTTACCGAAATAAATTGCATACAACGAAGAGACCCCTATATCGAGATTCCCAAAAATTTTATTTTTTTTCTCCAATCAAAATTAGTTCTTTGAATTTTTCATCCATATAGGATAACCAAATTAAAAAAGCAGTTACAGATTCTGATAGAGTTTAAAAATCTCTATCATCCCATATATTTGCTTATTTTTTTGCGTTCACCTATCGAAAAATAATTTAAGTACAATGAAAAAATTCTGAATCGACAAATACAGAATATTTGCGTTTTTCATTGTTTTTGCAGCTCTCTTTTTGAATTTATTACCACTACCAAGAACTCATTTTTTTTGATTAAGTAGTTATATTCTGGTAGAGGTTGAAATGCTCTATCGCTCTGCACATTTCTTAACTATCTTGCGTTGGTATACTGAAAAATAATTTGAATATTACATCGATATACTCGTTGACAACCTCTAAAAGTAAGTACCTTTTTTTTATTCACTCTCTCATTTATTGTCTCAAAAGTGCAGAATGATAGAGAATTTCAAGCTCTACCAGAATATATAATTGCTTATTCAAAAACATTTTCGCATAATAATAATAAATTCAAAAAGAGAACACCAACAGCAACGAAAAATACCGATTTTAGACACTTGTCAATTGATGGTATGTTCACTGTACTCAAGTTTTTCTTAAAACAAATGAACATAATAAAATAAGTAAATATACGGAGCGATCGAGAATTTCAAGCTCTATCTGAATCTAGAACTCCACGGACTTTCAGAATATGTAATTTGTATTTTTAAAATGTGCTTCTTTAGTGCAAATATATTCGAAATACAAAGTCCAACTTTTGCTTTCCAGGGGTATATATCGAAGTCTCTATTGAATTTCTCTCTTGATTTTCCTCTAATTGACTGTTATGATCTATGTTGATAGCACAAGATCATTTTGTCATCGATGTCTATTTTCTTCTCTTCTTCTTCTTTCCTTTTTGTTGGAAAACACACAATATAGCTAAAGACACACGTCTCTGTATATGTATAGAGAACCGCTAGACATCAGAGAAGACAGAAAAAAGGATAGAAGAGACAAACGAGAAGAATGTAGACATCGGTGGCAACATGATCTTGAGTTATCAACACAGATCATAACAGTTATTAGGAACAAATCATGAGAGAATAGGAGAGATTTTGTTTCATTCATTTTAGAAGTGATGCCGCGAGAAATTTCCGAGTAGTGAGCATTGCCCAGTCAAACTATTTAGAGAAGTGGAAAGCTATATGGGTAATCATCACTATTTTAAATTAATCTGTGGACCATAACTTTTGGAGTCGTATGCAAAAGTTCAACAGTCACATCCCTGACATTGTCACTGATTCTTAGTTTTAAGTCATATCCAGATATACACACCTATGTAGAAGTGGAACAAAGATAAGAATACATTTAAGTATTTGGTGTTATAGTTCAGGTATAAATATACATAGAAAGGCAAAAGGAGATTTAAATATTAATGCATTTACCTTATTCAAAACCATGCATTTGTTGAATTATTATGGAGCTTCTTTTCCTCAAAGATATTTATAGGAAAAATATTTTACTCACGTAATGAAAACCGGGGTTTTACTACGGTTTACCGGTTATATCCTCAGCTAAAACCGAACATTTTTGCTATGCATCAAACTTGAAATTATGTTGAGTTTTCAAAAACTTATTGAATTTTCAAATTTTGTTCTGTTTCAGCCTGCATCTGGTCTTTTCAATCCACTAAATTCATTAACACATCAACACATCAAGAAAGTTTATCTTAGGTGAGTTCTGATTTAAAATATTTTTGCTGATTTCTCATTGGTAAGAATTTGTCTATCGATTTTCATGCATGTTTTGCAACGAAATTATGGGTGGCAATGTCCTATTCATTTACTTTAAATTTAAATTCAATTTGAATCCTATATGAGTTAAAGTAAATGGGTTTAAATCCATCTGAATGAATTTAAATTCAATTCTATTTATTTGAAGTTGAATTTATATTGATTTAATCTGGACTTAAATTAATTTAAATAATTTAAGTCAATTTTATTTTATGTAAATGCAGTTTATATTTACAATAGACTTACAATTTTTTGAATTTATTTTTGAATTTATGAAATTTTTGTAAATGTAAATGGGTCGGTGTGGATGTGGGTGTGATCGTGGCTATACATGAAATAAATATCCATATTCCACGCTTACACTCACAGACCTACACCCACTCAGTAGCGTGAAACTTGAAAGTTGAATTCAACTGAAAAATTGTATTTCAACTAAACTCATTTCAACTGAAATTTCTAACTTCAAATTTCTACTTTTAAATTTTACTTTATCACGTTTTCGCGAACCCTCACGGAAAGTACAATGCCTAATAGACCATATATGTATTACTTCTTAGTTGAAGGTTGTTCAATGTAATTCAACTTTCAAGTTCTACATGCATGTTTGCACACAAAGCTGTGCATTTTCGCAACAAGAAGAGTTCTTATGAAACTCAGCCACATTTTACAGATGAAACGCAGTCTGAATCACCTTCTGATGATTCTGACTTGCAATATAGATAAAGACTAAGTGTATGCCGTATTTTTTGTCAACGAAACCAACAAACTCTGCTTTGTATTCTAGAAGCAAAAATGACTCTTACCGACGAACAGAAGAAACTTGTTCAAGCAAATGCATCCGTTATGAAGGAGCATGGCACAGAAATAACAACGAAATTCTATGCCACAATGTTCAACGAACATCCAGAAATGCGCAACTTTTTCAACCAGACCAATCAAAAAACGGGAAAGCAGCCTATGGCATTGGCACAGACCGTCTATTATTTCGTCGAGCATCTTGATAATTTGGATGTAATGATACCGCAGATGGCACGTATCTCTAGCAAGCATCGCGCCATTACGGTTAAACCTGAACACTATCCTATAGTCGGCAAGTATTTATTGCAAGCAATCAAAGAACATATGGGCGACAAAGCGACACCTGAATTAATGGCTGCATGGCAAGGTGTATATGATCTTATTGCATCAACCTTCATGAAGCTGGAGAAGGAATTGTACGACAAAGTTGGTGGCGATGAACGTAATAAAGGTTTCATTCCGTTCACTGTTATCAAGAAAGAACCCATCGCAAGTGGACCGATTTATGTTTTGACGATGGAACGTCAAGATGGTGGAAAATTATTCCATTATAACTCCGGACAATATGTTACATTGCGTGTTGAAAAAGATGGCGTGCTCCATCATGGACACTATCCTCTAATTGATCCATTCAACGGCAACACCTATACTGTGGCTTTTAAGCAAGGCAATGATCTTGATCAGAATAGTATTGTCTCGGAGGAAATTATTCGCAACAGTGTAGTTGGCAGCAAGATTTTATTTTCAGCACCTGCTGGTAGTTTTTCACTCGTCAAGGATGCTAAGCATCATTTATTCGTTAGTGGTGGTATCGGTGTTACTTCTTTCATGGCAATGATCCAAGAATTGGACCAACAGGGAAAAGCAGCTTCAGCATCATTAATTCAATGTGTACGAACCGAAGAGCATGCTGCCTTTGCCGGTAAATTACATAGAATTCTTTCACAAGATCAATATGTAATCTTGACGCAAAAAGAACCAATTTCAAAAGCCCATCTTGAAGGCAAGTTGAAGTCAGATACACATGTCTACGTGGCCGGTTCGGAAACGTTTCTCTCTATGGCCGAAAAGGCTCTCGAAGGATCTAATCATCCCAAAGCTCAAATTCATTGGAGATCAATCGAGCCGACGCTTCGTATATTACAAAGTATTGATCATAAATAAGTGAATGCGTAGTGGAACAACAACAGCTCAACAACAGAACTCTATGGTGCTACCCACTTCTTTCTCCTACTTTATCCATTAATATGACGCTTTTCTCATATCCAAATATTTTATTATTCTGTGCACGTAGTGTTTGTTTTCTGCTTAGTTTGGTTCTTAACTAGCATTCTCTATTGTTATTACTGAAAGCATATATGGAACAAAAATAAAAAACCATCGCCCCATTTGGGCCTAAAAAATATTTCTCTCCTTTATAGCATTCAAATCCATATCTTGGTGCATATTTCAGTTTATACTGAAAAAAATTCTATGTTCGGAAAATGGCAACGATTGGTATTAAACCATGGTTTTTACTTTTGACACTCATTTTGATTGCATTGTACAAGTTGTCACCGGTTTGCAGAATTGTTTGACGAAATGTGAAAAGGGATTTAAGGAAAGGATATTCACAGTGGTAGCATATCCAGGAAATCATGGATGAGAGGGCAGTGCCCCACTATCTTTGAAAAAATCATTCCACAATAATTCAAGTTTATTTAAGATAAATCCAGTTTCTGAACTTTCTAGTTACTAAAGAATAATGTAAAGTAATTTACTTGTTTTTTTTTCACATGAAATAATAGTACTACTAAAAAACAAAAAATGAGAATAAGAAAATAATAATTATTATTGCTGAATTGAGAAAGCATCAATTAACTTTTCATAATCAACAATATCAAAGGCGGGGGGGGGGGGGGGGGGGGGCAAGCATATTTCTATGTATTTCTAGACATAAAACAAAGAAATACGGAAATCCAGCAGTAAGCTTTTTTTTCTCTTTGACAATATCTCTCTGATAGCCAACGTAGACTAATCGCTCAGTCTAATATGGGACATAATGTACGTGCAGTCGTTTTAATAAGTTTTTTTTTGCTGCATGTTTTTTCTGCCGCAGTGGATGATACTGGGATCGTCATAGCACCGATGAGGAGGAATAGAATCGAGAGGTAAATGACAGAGATTTCGCCGTGAGGCTACATGAATTCCTGAAGTCTCTTGAAACCTGATGAAGACCTCTGAACGGTGCTTCTAATGTCAGACGCACCAAGCAGAAGCAGTGTACAAAATATCTAGTTCTCCTGACATACAACTGAAGAGAAAAAGTTAACACGATGATTCTATTGATTCCTGTTATTCTTATGATTCTAAAATGATTCTGACCACCGAAATAGAAAGAGGGAATTATCGTTCTGTTACTAAGAAATAGGGAATAGACAATGTCATGGGTTCGTATCAATGAGGAAACTTGAACAAGAATATGAATTAGAATATAGTAAAGAGAAATGTTGCAGTCTAATGTAAAATCTTCTACAATTGAATTTTCACCTTGTATTTAATTTTGTACGGTCATCATCAGCTATGTAAGATATCATTTGGGACCTTAA